ATAAGACAAAAAGGGTTGCTTAGGGGACATCCTAAGCTTTCCAAAAAGTCCAAGAACACCTCTCTAGGGTCAAAATTGAGAGAGTTATGCATTGGCTAAGTTGACCTTTTTTGCAAAATTGCCAAAAGTCAACATTGATCAAATTTGCATTTTTTCCAAAGGGGCCCATGTTTTCTTGTTTGAAACATGTTTCTAATAGGACCCACGACCCCTAAGCTTTTCCACCTTTTATTTTATTATTTTTATCATTTATTTTGATTTTTTATTCATTTAAATCAAAATAAATCAAATTAAATGGTAAAATAATAAAATCAAATCAAATCTTGGATTTTTTGTGCATCTTTTGAGTCTATGTACAGCTAGCAGGACAACCAATTCGTGCAAGATTGATTTGGGTGGAAAAAGATTGGATTGAAGCAAATTTGGAAAGATATCATATGCCATGAAAGACCAAATCAAATCTTCATAATGGGCAAGATTCAATTCGTTTTTGTTGACCTAATGTGTTGCACTACATATACAGAAGGAATCCAAGGCAAGATAAGAGGTTGAGCAGTCGTGAAAGAGGTAGAACAAACTTCAAAATTTCAAAGAAAAAGTGCAGATTGAATTCCAAGCTACAGGCCATCTCAAGCCATCCTAACCTTACCAATCGTTGTTGGACGTCTCAGGAACGTCTTCCAATCACTAGCAAGCCTCCCCATGTCTTGAAACACTTTGTAGAAGCATCATGGTTTGCCCTATTTCTTGGAATTAGATTATCATGATTTATACATCATTTGCACGTTTTGATTATATATTCTTGTTCCTTATTGAGTTTGCAAGCTAATCATTCTATTCAATTGCATTTTTGATGATTGTATGTAAAACTGCCATGGCTAGGGTTTGTTGGTTAGTTTTAGGGCTTGGATTCTGGTACCATGATAGTCGTGAGGATGAGACGAGTTGATTGGTACCATTGAATTTTATTTATCTTGCTTGTGGATAGTTTTTGAGTGACACAAGGCTATAGTTACAACAAGTGTCTGTAGGTAAAAGTCCAGGAACAAAAGACGACAGTTCCTTGGAGAAGAAGATGCGTGTCAACCAACCACTCGCCCATTCAAATTTTCACGCGTTTGGGTTTCAGCTTTTTGTTTTCATTATATCATATTTTTCTTTTATTGTATATACAAATAAAAAATGCAGCGCAAATGGCAACATGGCATGGGCAGAAGGCATAAGGACCTGGGTTCGATCCCAGGTCCAGACAACTCTCTTTATTTTCTTTTCCTTCCACAGATTCAGTGCAAATCTCTTTCACACGCTTACCATGCACCTTCAATAATCAACCAATGGATGCAGCAGTCAGCCAGGTGTACACGTTCTAGCCTGAAGGACCATCATGCGCCTCAAGTCAACATGTGCACTGAATCAGGCAAAGTCAAAACGGGCTGAGATTCATTTGGGCTCAGAATTTCAACAATACACCCCAGCATTGCTATTAGGCCCATCTCTAACCTTTTTTTATTTATTTCTTTTCTTTAATTCTTTTAATTTTCTTTTAAATCTTTTCAATTGACAAATTAACTATTTTCCATAAAATCATAAAATCAAGACTTCATAAAAATTAGGATTAGTTTTTTTTATTATTATCAAAATTAATTTAATTTAGTTTAACTTAGGGAAATTGTAATTTATTTTTACAAATAAAATAAAATAGAAATTAGGTTAAAACTCTTGATTTAATTTTATTTTCTTTTTTTCTCAAATAAATAAAAATACAAAAAATAGGTTTTTTAGAATAATTAATTTATTTTTTCTTAAATTTAAATTTATTAGAATTAGGATTTTCTTTTTTTAATCTAATAATTTCTTTATTTTCTTAAATAACAAAACATGACAAAAACATTTTCTCAATCAATAGCAATTAGGTTTAGTCAAGGGTCAAAACCCTAGTTGTCTCGTATCTAATTCATCGCGCGGGTGTTAATTATTTTTGTCAATATTTCTGTAACTGTTCATGGTTTGTAATAGTTTAATCTAGGACTTTTTACTTATCGCTTTTCCCGGGGTTTTTGGCTATGTAATTAATTCCCCTACCCGGAGCCTTGTAATAGCGTAGATTTACTTTCTCGCATTTTAATTCCCGTAAATATTTGGCTGTTTAGATGTATGCTAATAGGATTGTATGGCAAGAATGCATGAAAAATTAATACAGCTAGAAAACCCTAATGTGCAAAGATTAAATAACTGAATATAGATCACTCGCACATATCACTCTTAGGGTATACTCACACTTCGGTTGCCTTCGGTAAACGATCATTAAGCATAGGGTGTCTTAGTGGTTGCCCTCCTGTCTAAAAAGATCAAGTGTCCTGTTTAAATGTTGCCTCGGAAATGTTGCCTCGAATATGATCTTAAGACTCTAGGGTTATTACTAGGGTATCCTAACATTGCTTTAGTCATCGTACGTCCCTTTCGAATTGACCCTTACAACTCCAACGACGGTGCTACCTATTTCTCAATAGTAGGATAGCGCTGTCTAAAAGGAAACAAGAATAGAAACGATCTTTTTTCGAGTAGGTAGATGCTAGTAGGTACTTGCTCAAATCAAAACTTTTCACACTTACACTTTTCAAAACAACTTCGTCACACCTTTGAGGACTGATACAAGGGTTATCACGAAGTTAAAACTCCTTTCAAAAACAAAGCACACACACAAGCAATTTTAAAAAGATGAGCAAGTACCTAAGAGCCCATGGAAAACCATGGATAGAAATGGTGCTAACACCTTCCCTTTCTACAATCTACCCCCCGTACTCAGAATATCTCGAAAAAAGGATTTTTTCTGTACTTTTTTCCTTTCCAAGATTGGATGAAATAAAAGTCGGTGGCGACTCTTTCTTACCGCGACATTTTGCGAACAAAAAAATAACGCAAAATGCAAACCATCACTCAAACAGTCGGTTTTGCCACCGTATCACAAGGACCATTAGTACTACCTTCAAAAATCCCTATTACTTGCATCATTTCCACCAGGTCTTTGTATTCTTTCTCAGTAGCTTTGTTTCCTCCCATCCTATCTTGAGTGGATATCACATTATTAAAATCACCTATAACAATCCAAGGCTGCCCAATATTGCTCCCCAATTGCTCAATGTCCTTCCACAGAGTAACTCTTTTATCCCATTGGTTAAATGCATAAATAATGGTAACCAGGTACTGTAGCTGGTTATCCAAACCATAAACCTCAACATGAATGATCTTCTCATCAGTTCTAAGCACTTTAACCTCTACCTCCCTGAAATTCCACAGAATCTATATCCTTCCATTAATATGGTGAGTATAGTTATCCCATAAATTCCAAGTATTACCCAGCTTATAACTTCCCTAGGGGTATTCACCTATTTTTTACCTCTGTCAGTAGCTTTACTAGATGTCACCAAGATCCAGGGAGGATTCAAAGCTGATGTCTTGTTCTCCTTCTTACATGTTTCATTTCCTTACACTATGTGAGGCTTGTTGTGCACTTCCTCTGTAGTCTCTTCTACAATTGGTTTAAGTGCCACAGGTTTCCAGATTTTATGCTTCTGTCTCACAATTTGTTGTTTCTCAGTGTAATCATGTCCTATTCTCAAACATGTATGACAATATTCGGCCTCCATTCATATTCAATTAACTGGTCAACCATTTACCCTCTATAATCCTGAATTTTAATGCTCTCCTTAGGCTTCTGTGTAATATCAACCTCAACTAAAATTCTAGCATATGAGGCTCGAATCTTCTTAGCAGTACATTCGTCAGTTGTGATTGTTTTACCTATTACACTAGCTATCTTTGTAACGCTTTTCTCCCCCCAAAGGTATAAAGGTAAATTTAGCAGTATAACCCAGAGAGGTAGAACATGAAGTAAATCATCCTTAATTTCAAAGTCCATAGTCCAGTTTTTCAAGAAGATAGGCTTACCAAAAATGAAGTAAGGACCCTGCTCCATGATTTGTTCTTGATCCTCCTTACTCTTGCAGCGCACTATGAAATACTCTGCATCATTATAGTAAATATTTGAGAGCGATACGAAATTCCATGTTTTCTCCATAAACTTCTTCACTGCGTTCATCAAAAGGGAGTATCCTAAAGCGAAGACATTATCACATTCTCCCAAAATTCGAGTTCACCTGCTACATCATCTTCCTCAATCTAAATTATCATTTCTCCATTCATCATCGTGGGAGCCACATACCCCAACACCATTTCTCGATTCATGCTTCTATTCCCTTGGATAACATCTACCCAAGGCTTCACGTTCTTTTGATCAATCTCAGGCGGTTTAGATATCAGTTCTTCCGTCATTGGTATTAGTGCTTTTGGTTTTGCATCTTTCTCAACCGTAACATTCGTGTCTATCACCAGATTAGCTTTAGTAACAATTATTCTCTTCGCGATCTTCGAGCGCGCCACCGTTCCTTTATCTGGACCGCCAACAACACGTTTGATTTTGGACATAAACCCTAGCGGAGCATTCCTTTAAGTTATTTCAATAGTAATTAATTTTAATTTTACATATCCTAAATTACTTTGTAATATTATTTAGGAATTTATGTTGACAAGTTAAAATAAATGTATCTTATAAAATGGAAAAGAACTTATATTTAAAAATATTTTTTTCCTTAAATAAATGCTTACATTTAGAGAAAAAGAGAGTAAGATAAGTACATGAAACAAAACTAGTCCACCATAGCATTAGGTACATCCTCTTATCGCATAAAGTGCAACGCAACACTCATCACAACTACCTCCTATAAATATCCCATATTTTATTCACCAATTAGAGACAAAAGGAAAGAAAATAGAGACATAGTGTTTCGTGTCAAGACATTATACTTATGAGTAGCTAGCAATAGTAGTAGCAAAGCAAAAACAACTCAACCCCTTCCATAGCTACGCTTTTTCCTTAAACAATGGTTAATACCTTATTTTCTTCTCACCATCACTAGCAAAATCTCTACAAACCCACATCCATGGAGTTTAACCTTGAAAACCCTCTCGAAAACTTTCATGACCTTCCTAATTCTCAATGTGTTTCTTCCCTTTTTCTCATTGAATCTGACCATATCCCTCCTCCAAGTTACTTTCAAACCCTCAAATCAAATGAGTTTGATACCTCACTTAGAACTGATTTCATCTCTTTGATCTCACAGGTAATTAACCACCATTTTGCTTTGTTTTATATTTAGCTTCACATTGTGTTTTCTAACTCTATAAACTATAATTATTGGCAGAATCAAAATTATGATTTGATTCTGTCAAATTTACCATAAATCCAAACATTAGGTTAATCTATGTTTGGATTTGGGGCGAGTTATGTATATCAAACCAAACATTTATTAATGTTGGTAAATTGTTTCTATGTAGTTGTCATGCAACTTTGATCCAGTTGTGACTTACTTAGCTATCAACTATTTGGATCGCTTCCTAGCAAACCAAGGAATATTGGTAAAAAAAATCAAACACTTCATTAAACAACATTATTAAATTTAATACTTCATTAAGCATAATTAACATTTTTTGAGATCTAAATTAAAATTGATATACATGTAACAGCAGCCAAAACCATGGGCCAACAAACTTCTTGCAGTAACATGTTTTTCACTAGCAATAAAAATGTTGAAAACAGAATACTCTGCCACTGATGTTCAGGTAAAAAAAAACTTTACTTTATATATAACTTATAAGTTAAAATTTATGCAAATTTTAATTTTTAACCAAAGTGTTCATTTTATAATAGGGTCTTCTTAATCATGATGATGGTGGTTTCATTTTTGAGACACAAACAATAAAAAGAATGGAAGCACTTGTGTTAGGAGCATTACATTGGAGAATGCGTTCCATTACTCCATTCTCTTTCATTCCTTACTTCACCAATTTGTTTCATCTTGATGATATAACATTAAAGGTTCTCAAAGATAGAGCTTCACAAATTATATTCAAGTCACAAAAAGGTAAATTTATTAATTAAAAAATTAATTAAGTTAATGTGATTGCTTAATCTAGAATTATAGTTTGATAATTTTATTTATGTTTTATTACTTTTTATTTTATTTTTCAGATGTAAAGGTTTTGGAATTCAAGCCATCTATAGTTGCTGCTTCATCCCTTCTTTATGCTTCACATGAATTGTTTCCTTTTCAATATCCATGCTTCTTGGGAACAATATCCAATTCTTCATATGTAAATAAAGTAAACATTCTCTCATTATTTTCTTTTCTATTCTTTTTACATTATATTAAAGTGATTTTTTAATAGTTATTTGATCAACATCGGACAAATTTTTATTTTTATTATTATTATTATTATTATTTATTCAATTTTATGGATAATAGAGTGTATTTTTTTTACTACAGGAAAATGTGATGCAGTGCTATAATGTGATACAAGATATATCTAAGGAAGAGTACGAATCAATGTTTAATGCAAATTCAAGTTCTGGCACACCAGTTAATGTGTTAGACGAAAATTTTCTAAGTTTGGAAAGTGAAAAAACCAATGGAACAAATCTGGATCCAACTACTATGATACAAGAGAAGCATTTCAAAAGAAGGAAAATTTAATCATAAATGCTCAAGTACTCAAAAAAAAAGAAGAAGATAACAACATTTAATTCTTCTGGTCCATCCAAGAACAGTTAAAAAATTAATGTGAAAAAAAATGAGGATACATTCATAGGAAGAGATAGTTAATGGACAAAATCACTATAATGTGATTCTTGTACGGATTTCATTAAATCTTGTGATTGTGAAAAAGGAACATGGATGAAAAAAATGGAATTGAATTGTTTTGAATTGTCTGATTTGTAGTGAAGTGTGGTTCTGTCCTTTAGCTTATGGCAAAGGAATAATAGTGTAGTAATAGTGAAACTGCAAATTTTGTTGGAAGGGTGTTAGTACTATGTGATTTTAATGTAAAAAGTTTCAAGCTTCTAAGGCTTAGTATTTTATAAGCATTTGCGCTATAAATTTATCTCGATAAATATTTATGCTATAAATGGTAAATAAATTGTTTATCCAAACATATCTTAAATCGCATAAAAATAATTTTGTTTTAATTGATATTTTACTATATGCCTATAAATGGATTGAACAATCTATTCAAAAATAATTTTCACTACCATAAATTTATCACAATTCTTAAAAGTTATAAAGTGTTTAAAGTTTCCAAGGACCCAAATTTCTTTATCAAAGATATTTGGTTGGACCAAATTTGAGATCTCTAGTCTTGTACCTAAAGAGTTGATTGCAACTTCACAGAAGAAATTGGGACCACAATGGGTTGGTTCACCGAAGAAATCAAAAAACACCCTTTTCTAAAGTTTTGTTCTCACTTCTTTGTTTTTGTTTCTCACCCTCTTTCATGTGTGTTTCGTGTGTATTATAATGGCAACATGAATGCTATTTTTAGTCACAAATAATGGATTATATACACATTAACATTTCTAATTCAATTTGTTAGTGGTTAACCAAGTTAGGTAAGATTAAGTAATAGAATATCTTACCTGTTACTTCATTAGGTTCTTTACTATAGTAAAGTTTGATAATGCAGTGCTTTAGATTTTTTCTTTTTTACTTTGGAATATTGTGTTGGTTTTCTTATATGAAAGCATCATTTGTTGAAATCCTTGTTTTATGTGGAGATAAAGGTTTAAATGGAACATGTGATAGGGGATTGATTCTGGTGACATTTTAAACTTTATGGTTAGCTTTATAGAAATTATTCAAGTGTTAGGTTAATATAATTGCCTTTGTTATTTTAAACATTTACCTCAAAAATTAAGTATTCTCCACTTTAACATAATAGTCAAATTAATGATTGTTCGATTAAGATTAAATAATGCATAATTATAAAATAAAATATGTGTTTATATGAACTATGAAACCGTGATATGATGAATGTCGATATTATAAATGTCTGTAGAGTTCTTGAATTATCGGAATCTGAATTTATTGTCTTAAAAAATTGATAAGGTTATTCTCCACTTATAACATCAACATATGCATTCTAGCTAGTTTACAACTTATGATATGGACTTGAAAACAAAACCATCCCTTACAATATTCAATTATACCTTAATATTCATTCACTCATTTCCTTAACTAAAGGACACAACTTGAAAACGATGAGAGCCAAACCTTGTAAGCTAGTATAAAACCTAGGTTTGTGCATTATACTCATATTCACAATTTATATGAAGTCTTATCCAATATGCACTACACATTTTTGTATATATGTAATGATTGAAATGTGACGTTTTGGCTACGAATTTTGTTAGTTCACTACAAATTTTTTGCCTCATACCCATAGTCAGTAAGAAGTTTTTACCAACAGACAATAGTTTACCGTCACTAAAACTAATTTTATTTGTTATTATTAATTAGCATATTATTATATTTTATTTTTAAAAAACAATTATTATATTACTACATTTAAAACAAAATTATTATTATGTTACTACACTTTTTATTTAAAAAAAAATCATATTACGACATTTTTTATTTAAAAACAAAAATCGCTTATTACACAATCACTTTCTCTCTCGAAACAAATTCATATATCATTTCTCTTTCAAACCAGATTTAGAAGCTGGTTGTTCAAATTTCGCTCAAAAAATCGCTTATTTCATAATCAACTTCTCTCTCGAAACTAATTCATATATCGTTTCTCTCTCGAAACAAACTCAAATATTGTTTTTCTCTCTCAAACCAGATCTAGAAATTGATTGCTCAAATTTCGCTCAACTTTTGAATCGCTCGAATCATTTTGGATTACTTTAAATCACTTTGTCCCTTAAAACAAGATTTCTCTCGCTCGAAATTGATTATTTCAATTTCTCATTCTGAAATTCATAAGGTAACATGATAGATTAATTGAAAAAGTGGAATCAATGAAACCTATATAATATAATCATTACAACTATTTTTTATGTTTTAATTTGAATGGTAGATTGATTGATAAGTATTTTTTATGTTCTCAAATAGCAATGTTGTAGCTGTAATAATCTCTTTTTGTTTGCTTTTCGATAGGTTTCGTAGATGGTTTTATGTTATTTTAACTGTTCATGTTTGCTTATTTTAAGTTCATGTTGGCATTTTATGACAGGACTATGATAGCCTCTTTACCAGTACACATGAAACAATTCATGGCAAGCTTGTGGATTTTCAGAATGATCTTGTCAAGAATTTTTTAGCTAAGTACCATCTTTTTACTACTAAATTCCCACACTATCATACATTTTCACACATATTCTCAATATATCATGTTTTTAAACACACAAAAAAATTAAAGTAAGAGGCTCTGTCCATTAGATTGACGGATGCTCTTTAAATTATAAAATTTTCGTCCATTGGACTGGCGGAACTGTTTAAATATCATTTTTTTTATTAATATAATATTAAAAATAAAATAAAATAAATTAAAATTATTTAAGATTAAAATTAATATTAAAGTTAATATTTAAAAATAAAATAAAATAAAAATAAAAATTAATATGACCCGATCAAAATCGACAGTAGATATATTTTATTATAAATTAATTATTATGTCATTTCTTAATTAATTATAGTGAAATTATATAATTTAAATATAATTAAAATTTATATATATATATATATATATATAATTCAAGTAAGTTAATTTAAAAAAAAAAATTCACGTAAACACTCTTCCGTCCATCTAATGGATTCTCTTAAATTTAGAACGCTTCCGCCCATTACTTTTGCGGATATCAAAAATATTCAACAGTTCCACCCATTCACTTGACGGATGCTTTATGACAAAAATAAAATTTATTTGAAAATGTGGTAAAACATTAAAAAATTCTCTTGTCAAACATACCGGTTTGGCCACGTGTGTATGTGGTTGATGATTATGAATACTGATGAATATTAAATGATCAATACATATTATGAGGCTTTTAGGAATCGTAGATGTTGGGTGTATTTGCTTTTACATTAAGGATTCTTGTAGCATAGGATGGTGTTGTAGCATATGGTAGCTATTATAAAAATATAATATATAAACAAAAATATGCCCCCCAAAATGCAGAATTAAATAAAAGAACAAAAGAAACCAACAACATATGTTAGAGAATATGATATTTTAGACAATAAGATAGTACTATTAAAAGGTAATTTAGTATTTGTTATATTTGGAGAAAAACTTAGCTATTAAAGTTTTTTTTTTTAGGGTTTATGTGGCATTCTTATTTTTGCTATCTTTGTGTATAAATAGGTGTACCTAGGTCTCATTAATATAATTCAATTCCTTTACCAATCATTAGCAGCCGTCTTTATCATTATATTTCCTCTCTTCTTCCTCAATTTCATCACCTTGCACCAACAATTGGTATCTAGAGCTCTTGGTTATTCTGAATTTCTGGGAAACACGAGTGAAAGTGAACTGTGCGTTTGATTTTGGTTCTTGATCTCTGTTGAATCTTGAACAAAAATCCGAACAGAATCACATTGATTTTGTGGGTTTGGGAAACACTGAGTGAGATCTGAGATTTGTGCAAGGTTTAAGATGAGTGGAGGCAGTAGTTTGAACACTAAACTTCCAGTTTTTATGGAAAAAGCTGGAACAAATGGATGATACAGATGCGTGTGCTATTTGGTGACCAAGATGTTCTGGATCTTGTTACCAATGGTTATGTTCTAGTTGCAGCAAATGCTACTCTGCAAAAAGAGCTACGAAGAAGAGGGATCAGAAAGCTCTGTTCTATATCCATCAGTGTGTGGATGAAAGTGTGTTTGAGAAGATTGCTGATTCGATGACATCGAAAGAGGCATGGGATATACTGGTCAGATGTTACGGTGGTGACGCGTCAGTGAAGAAGGTGAAGCTTCAGTCCTTGCGAAAGTAATATGAGAATCTCAACATGAAGAACTGTGAGAAAGTTTCTGAGTACATCTCCAGAATGATTCTAATCACTAATGAGATGAAAGTTTGTGGAGAAACACTTTCTGAACAGGTAATCATAGAGAAGATTCTGAGGTCGCTTACTCCTCAGTTTGATTACATTGTTGTTTCTATTAAACATTCTAAAAATCTGGAAACCATGAGAACAGAAGAGTTGCAAAGCAGTCTAGAAGCGCAAGAGTTACGTCTGACTGAAAGAACTTCTGAGAGGGAAGTTGAGCAAGCTCTGAAGGCTTCTTTTGTCAAGAAGGACCAGAAGCAGAATAGATGTGGTGATAAATTCCAGAAGTCAGAAACCTCAACTTCTGATGAAAAGAAATATCAGAAGGGAAATGAAAGGTATGACAAGAAAAAGGTTCAATGTCACTGTTGTAAGCAGTTTGACCATTTTGCCAGAGATTGCAGAAACAAAGGAAGGAAATCAGAAGAAGCAAATATAGTCAGAGGAGATTCTGATGATGAACTCATGCTATTGATGGCTTCTGATTCTGATGGAAAGTGTTCAAAAGATTGATGGTATATGGACAGTGGCTGTTCAAACCACTGGACTGGGAATAAAAAATGGCTAATAGACTTTGACTCCAGAAGGAGAACAAAGATCAGATGTGCTGATGATAAATATCTTAATGCAGAAGGTATG